CTTGGACATGTACTTCAGTTTTCCCTCTGTTGAATGGGAATGAGTCACATTTACCACTGGGACAAGTAATTGTGAATAACTATAAAGTCCTTTGCAAGCAAGGGCTTCCACAGGGGCCCCAAATCATTATGAAATAGCTGGAAAAAATTGCTAAGTATATACTTTTCCAGATAGTGGCAATAAACTATAGATTTTGTTGTATAAGAAAACATGTTCTTTTATAATTCTAGGGCAGATATAAGTTTATTAAAGACAACAAGGAGTAAAAAAGCAGTAGCTAAGACCAAAACTATTGAAAGGGATTTTCATCTGTTCACTCACTAAATAAACATTTTTGAGCTCTTTTTTCTAGTGGGGATGAAGCTCACTGTCTAGTGGGGATTCAGAGAAGAAAGTGTTGGTTATAAATTCCAATCCTAGTGATTTGGGCAAATAGCCTTTTTGTGTCTCGATTTTTACATCTGAAAAATGGAAGCCAACCCTGGTCAACCCCCACCTCCAGGGTTTAATCAAGGATTAAATGAGATCATTTCATATGAAAGACAGCACAGTGCTCAGTGATATTTTTATGACAGTAGGATGTATCTTCATTACAAATAATTTTTTTTGAAATCTTGATCTTTGTGTAACTAATCATTGGAGACATTTTGTTAACCAAGGATGACTTCCATAGTTGGAATATATTGATGAATGAGATCTTTTCAATAGCTTCACACAACTATGAAAGAGGCATCATGATAGGGATGTAAAAAAAAGAAGGGGTAAGAAGAAAGGAGACCAGGGTTTGTATCTTGGCTGTGCTACAACTTAACTGTGAAATCTTGGAATATTCACAATTTTATTTACTTCAGTTTCCTCCTCTGTAAAGTGGGCTGGTGGTTGTACCCGTGACCTTTTGCAATTCTAACTTTGATGATTCTGTACAAAAAGTATTATTGGAGAATGTTGTTGTTGGTGAGTACTGTCTAGTTGGTTCTGACTCATAGCCACCTTGGATAGGGTTTCCAAGGAGTAGCTGGTGGGTGTGAACTGCCAACCTGGTAGTTAGCAGTCCAGTGCTTATCCTACAGCGCCACACCAAGAGTCCAGGATAAGTGTTGTTGTTATTGCTGTTAAGTGCCGCTGAGTTGGTTCTAACCCATAGCAACCCTGTATAGGGTTTCCAAGGAGTGGCTGGTGAACTTGAACCACCAACCTTGAGGTACAAATCGACTTTGTACTCCAGCTCATTAAATCACAGCAGATGTGAATTCACACAGAAACTTCTAAATTTTTGCAGTGTATAGATCATAACAGGGACTATGTGTGCTTCCTTCTTTCTTCCATTTCTTCCCTCCTTCCTCCTCTCTCCCTCCCTCCATTCCTTCTCCTATTTAAGACAGGATGACTAAAAGGTATCTGTGACAGACGTTTTTATGAACAGATGAATAGTAATCCACAAAATGCCATGCAAATGGTAATTTCTTTTGATTGATGCATTTGAGCTATAGTGTTGTAGAAGAATATTCAAAGTACCATGGACCAGAATGCTCCTTAGAAGCAAGTATGGCAAGACTTTGTCTCTTATACTTTGGTCATATTAAAGTGGAGGGTTAGTGTAAAAGAGGAAGACCCCCAATGAGATGGATTGTCACAGTGGTAGCAAGAATGGACTCAAGTATATGAGGAAGAGAATAATACTAGAAATGAAGAAAATAGCCTAGCATAGATGTAATCACTTATTTTTATTGTTGTTGCTATTAAGTGCCTTCAAGTCAGTTTTGACTCA